AGGGTTGTGATGCAAATGATGCTTCTAAACTCCAGGAATGACAGGCTCCGCGGTGGTGGACTGGTTGTTTCAACGGAGCCTGCCAGCCCTCCTGGCCGGGACTGCGTGTATGTGTCGGCTATGTGACTGTCTTGCAGGGGGAGGAGGGTTACAGATCCCCTGCTGCGCGGCTCTGTGATCCAGGGTAAGGACCGCTGCATAAGATCTGTAACTGCCCTCCCCCGCCACCAAGTCACAGAGCAACACCACCGCCCCCACCACACAGAACATGAAAACCACCTCCCAGACTGACCAGGATAACTAGTCACTGCACTGTATATGTGCCCTGCTGCTGCATCTGCCCCCTGCTAAAGGTGACTGTCCTGTCCAATGACCAAGCCCCTTCCCCCCCCTTCAGACAGACTCCCCTCCAAAAGAAGAGGATGGAAACAGAAATGAACAGAAACGTATTCTTTATTAACAACCGCACATGGAACGGGGGCGTGAAACTTGGACGGGGTCTTGTGTGAGGCGGGTAGGAAAGGACTTTTCAAATTTTGGGGAATGAGAGCCTTCTAGTGGTAGAGCAGTCCGCAGGGGTGGAGTGAAATTTTTCACGGCCCCTTCCACCCCTCCGTGTTTGGACTTTGGGTGAGGGGGGTATGGGACTTGGTGGCGGGGCAGGGCAGTTACAGAGAGACTGCAGCGGGGCTCTCTCCTCCTGCCTCCGGTCCTGCAGAACATCCACAAGGCGGCGGAGCGTGTCCGTTTGCTCCCTCATTAGTCCAAGCAGCGTTTGAGTAGCCTGCCTGTCCTCCTGTCGCCACCTCTCCTCCCGTTCAATGTTTGCCCGGTGCATTTGGGACAAGTTCTCCCTCCACTGTGTCTGCTGGGCTGCCTGTGCTCGGGAGCATGCCATTAGTTCAGCAAACATGTCTTCCCGTGTCCTCTTCTTCCTCCTCCTAATGTGCGCTAGCCTCTGGGCAGATGTGGCTGTGGGAATTGGAAAAAGGGAGTGAATTCCTGAGACAGAGCAATGTATCTGTGAACAGAGAACATAGTCTTTCTCTGTGAACAAGACCATGCAGAGCACCTATCACACGCGCACTGAGGACAAGGTCGAATTTTCGGCCCTCGCCTACAGTGCCTGCGGTCTTGCTGTGGCGAGCTGAGGAGCAGGGCTGGACACCGGACTTTGTCTAGCTGGCAAACATGGTAAGCCGTAGACTTGTGGCCGCTTAAAACTTTAAGAGTGGCACTGGCCTCCTTTCACATAGAAAGCAATGCGAGTCTCTGCTGGCAGCAATCCTGCAAGCATGAACTCTGGCCCTGTCCCACCCCCTCGCGGCTGTAAACCGCGTGGCTGTAAACCGGCGGTTGCAGTTCTGTAAAGGGACGGGCAAGCAGTCCCAATACTAACTTTCCCCTACCTAATTCACAGCAGGGAGTCATGCCAGACATCACCCTCCTGAAGGTCTCGGAGAGCCAGAAGGAGAAGATGCTCCGGGACAGCCTGCAGAAACCGGGGCCATTTGCTGCAATGCTCTGCAAGGCCATGATCCCGGAGTACCTGCTGGCGTTGTGGCAGGGAAACGTGTCCTACCACGGGGGGCCTAATAAGCTCTCCCTGCCCAGGAACCTGCTCATGAGGCTGGAAAAACACCTGCAGGAGGCGTATGAGGAGTTCTCCCCGGAGGATCTCGCCTCTATCCCCGGTTACATTGACCAGTTCTTGGCTTAGGTGCCCTTGGAGGGACAAATGACTGCAGGGTTTTGGGCACTATAATCATGAAGCGGACATTGTGAAATTTTTTGAAAATGGTTCGGACTACATATTGAGGCGCCCAAAGACAGACTAATCATGATACACTTTGCACAGATTCCCCTTTTGTTTGACTTTCCTGTTTACATGTTTTGAAGCACTTTACCCACTGTTAATATTTTAAATCTTCCTGTTTTGTTGTAAATAAATGTTTACATGTTTTAAAGCACTTTAGCTACTGTTAATATTTTAAATATGCCAGTTATGTTGTAAATAAATGTTTAGATATTTAAAACACTTACTGCTTGATCCTTCCCCTGAATCTGTGTCTGGGGTAACGGCGGGGGACGGTTGGTAGGGGATCTCTGTTAGGGTGATGAAGAGCTCCTGGCTGTCGGGGAAATCAGCGGTGCCAGCGCTGTCGACTGCCTCGTCCTCCTCATCTCCTTCTTCATCTTCCCCGTCCACTAACATGTTGGAGGAACCGGCCGCGGACAATATCCCATCCTCAGAGTCCACGGTCAGGGGTGGGGTAGTGGTGGCGGCCGCACCTAGGATGGAATGCAGTGCCTCGTAGAAACGGGATGTGTGGGGCTGGGATCCAGAGCGTCCGTTTGCCTCTTTGGTCTTCTGGTAGCCTTGTCTCAGCTCCTTGATTTTCACGCGGCACTGCGTTGCATCCCGGCTGTAGCCTCTCTCTGCCATGGCTTTAGAGATCTTCTCATAGGTCTTTGCATTCCGTCTTTTGGAGCGCAGCTCGGAAAGCACGGACTCATCTCCCCACACAGCGATGAGATCCAAGACTTCCCGATCCGTCCATGCTGGGGCCCTCTTTCTATTGGATTGCACGGCCATCTCTGCTGGAGAGCTCTGCATCGTTGCCACTGCTGCTGAGCTCGCCACGGTGTCCAAACAGAAACTGCGCTTCAAACTGCCCAGACAGGAAAAGGAATTCAAATTTTCCCGGGGTGTGGCTGGTCAGAGCATCCGAGCTCGGACTGCTGTCCAGAGCGTCAACAGAGTGGTGCACTGTGGGATAGCTCCCGGAGCTATTAGCGTCGATTTCCATCCACACCTAGCCTAATTCGATATGGCCATTTCGAATTTAGCGCTACTCCTCTCGTTGGGGAGGATTACAGAAATCGATTTAAAGAGAGCTCTATGTCGAACTAAATGGCTTCCTGGTGTGGACGGGTGCAGGGTTAATTCGATATAACGGCGCTAAATTCGACATAAAAGCCTAGTGTAGACCAGGCCTTAGCGACAGGGCTCATAGGCTGCTGGTTGGGAAGGGTTACAAAGCTCCACCCAGCAACTAAAATCCATATGATATTAGTATACAATCCCTTTCTAATTCCTGGTAAGCTCTTTTGAAGCCCATGCTCTTCAGTGTAATTTGTTCCTGATCCCGAATTAAGTACGCTGCCCTGAAGAACCTGTCATTAAAGAGCTTTCTTCCTAGTTGTCCAGAGAACCTTCTGTATCTTCCAGTATCACTTCGCTCCCCTGCTCTCATAAAAGCTACTCTTCTTGCAAAGAATCCCCTGAAGAAACAAATTGTGCAGGATTCAGGGTCAAGGCCACATACCCGGTTTTCTACGTGCTAGACACGACTGTCTCGTCCCAGCTACCATCTTCGTTTTCTTAATGATGAGTTTGCAGATACCAGCATAGAAAGGAAGTGCTCATACTAAAAGAGAGCTACCTTGTTTCACATCAAAGAGCTACAGAGTATCTGGTGCTTTCTTCTTCCCACCATGCTTTAATCAGTTCATGTTCATGAACCTCTTGTTACTTCTAAGGGAGGTATTCTACTACTACCACCACCTGCATTGATTGTGCACCTTTCTTACAGAGATCTTAAAACAACATCTTACTGACATTTATTAAGCCCCCTAGTGCTTCTGTGAGGTAATCAATTAATATTATACATATTTTACTGATGGATACTTTAACACAGGATACACAAAGGCAGAGACAACAAATTACATCTACCTTCAAACATGGTTATTTGCTCCTCTAAAATTAATTTTAATATAGTGCCTACTGAGACTACTGTTAACATATGTTATATTTGTCATCCTTAAGGCATCCCAAAGTGAAAAAAGCTTCAGTTGTCTATGATTGACTTTGAAGATTTTCTTCAGGGCACAATGAATGTTCCTATTTCAGGGAATAATAAGACCTACACGTTCAACAGTCTCACAGCAAAATAAAAGCATGATTTTGATAAATACAAATCTCCATGCAGAAATCAAACATTTTATGTGCATGACAAAATATCCATTCTTCCTATTAAAAAGGACATATGCAAATTCTATTAGAGAGATTTGCATCCAACCATGCCGAGTGCTATGAAATAAATACATTTGTGTTTAGGCTTTGTTGTTAAGAGAAGAGAGACTCTTGATAAATCAACAGTGGTAGCACAGGGCTTCGGTTTACTGAAGTTTGCACTATGTTAACAAAATAGACACTGATCATTAATTTCCACAACTCACGTAGATTCAAATCCTGCAGTCCTAATTCAGGCAAAACTCCCATTGAAGAGAATGAGTCACAACAAAAGTGCTGGTAGGATGTACTGTTCAGTACTGACCTTAATCTAAGGCTCCTGTCATGCTGTATTCATTAGAAGTGTGGGCTTGAAATGTGCCAGCAATTCAAAAGAAAAATATGGTATTGAAACTCCCACTGTAGCTTCTGTGACAGTTCAGCTGTCAAAAGTTGGAATTCTACCCATTCATGTTGTTTGGGAGATTTAATTGTGCCTTTCAGAACATTCAAATGTTTTAATTGCTTTTAAATTTAGTCTTCGCTCTGAATTTCCTGGGTTTCTAATAGGTGCTGTGGTTTACAACAGCATTCTTTTACAGTGTTTTACCCTTAAATGTACCTGCAACATTAACCCCTGCTTAACCAAGCTGTATTTAGGACTATACAGATTAACCTGGACCCTTCTTCCTCTTCCATATGCCACGCATAGGCTGTGAAGTTCAAAAGTTGCACAGCAATCAGATTCTGAGACCCTTACTCGCTTTGAATAGTCCCTATGAAATTGGTGGAATTATTTGTGGAGGGAGGTGCCCTCAATAGGCTTAAAGATGTCAGAATTGGACCCATAATGTGTAGTTTTGCAGTGTCTGATTAGAGATGGTAAGCTTCCCCTGCTGACAGACTACTAGTGGGGTGACAATATGTTCATGACTCTCTACTTATTGATCACAATTAGCTTTCTTTCCTTTATTTCTCCTTACAGGAATTGTTTCCATCATGACCCTTACCGTTCTTGCCTACGAGCGCTACATTCGAGTCGTTCATGCAAAAGTGATTGATTTCTCTTGGTCCTGGAGGGCCATCACCTACATCTGGTTGTACTCGTTAGCTTGGACAGGAGCGCCCCTTCTAGGCTGGAACAGATATACACTGGAGATACATGGACTGGGTTGTTCAGTGGACTGGCGGTCAAAAAACCCCCGTGATGCCTCCTTTGTGCTCTTTTTCTTTCTTGGTTGCCTAGTGGCACCTGTGGGGATCATGGCCTATTGCTATGGCCATATTCTATATACAATAAGAATGGTGAGTTGAAACAAGCAAGCAGCATATGCAATGAATAATTTCAATGAAAAGGTAAATGAGTAATTGGTCTCGGAGATGTACATAGTCCCCAAGGTTTTATTGATAAGATATCCTATAGAAAAGTTAATGTACATAAAGGGTGGGATTTTCATGCCAAATTTCCATTCATTTTAATGGGAATTTGGTACCTAAATCCCTTTGGCAACTTTGACAATTTCAGCCTAGAGTACAGTGCTCCTTATCTCATGTAATATCTTTACTTTCCATTAATGTGCCTCATTTTTTCCTGTTCCCTTTCATGAAAAGCAGAATCTCATTTTGAATGCTATTAGAAAAATTATCTAGAGATAAAAGATACTTCTGACATGGGAGGGGAGTGTATTGAGATAAAAAAGTCTCATGAGACTCTAAAAAGAATCCTACAATACAAATTTGATAAAGCAATAACATAAAATATTAATGCTAGCATTGATTGGAACAATAGGAATTTCCCTTTGACAACTTATTGTTCAGTAATGCTAGAGACCTGGGGTACGTATGCATTGTTTTTATATCCAGTGCATCCTTTTTACTTTGTGAGCCATCAGTCTTTTGAGGCAATAGCCCACACACTTCTTCTTTGTAAAACGCAGTTACTATCAGGGATGTTTGTTCAGATAATATTCTACATGTAGGTCATCAGTTCTAATTCAGTCCAAATCTGCAGTAATTAGAAATTGTTATTGTTTGAGTTTGGTAGTCTCAGTCCAGTTTACAGTGGACCAGCATCTATATCAAACAACTATAATTGATAGTAATTAGGGAGATACGAGTGTGACACACGTACTTCTCCTCTCCTGAAAGTCATTCAGCTAATGCTGAGAGCTGAAGTGGCATAGAGAATGAACTATCATCTCCTCTCAAGAAGTGGTGCCACCATGTTAGGATTATAAATCAATTGGCAGGGCAGCATGGAGAATCTTGTACAGTAGAACCTCTGTTACAGACACCTCAGGAATGGAGGTTGTCCATAACTGAAATGTTCTGTAATTCTGAACAAGAGGTTACGGATTTCAACCACGGGGAAGGGGGATGTTGGGGCTGCAACTGCAGGGAAGTGGGGGAAAGGGAGTCAGGGCTTCTGATCCTTGGTTCCCAACAGAGGGCTCAGGGCTTCTGCCCCATGGGAGTACTAGGGCACAGGGCTTTAGACCTGGGGGCTGTAGAGGCTTGAGGGTCTCCACGGCTCCGTTCCCAGCTTCAGCAGGTGCGGGGGCTAGTTATGGGGCAAGCACTGGGGCTGAAACTGGCACCCCCCTCATAACTAAAGCCCTGAGCCCTGGTGCCCCACGTGGGGCTGAAGCCAACAATGGAGCTGCAGGACTGAAGTGCTGAGCCCTGGAGTCCCCAGCGGGGCTGAAGCCGGGAGTGGAGCCATGAGGCTGAAGCTCTAAGCCCGAGTGCTCCCCCTGGTCTAAAGCCCTGAGTCATGGTGCTCCTGAGGTCAGAAGCCCAGAGTCACCCCCGCCCAGAGCCTGGGATTCCTCCCCCCTCCCTCCATGGGTGCAGTCCCAACCCCCCTTGACTGAAGCCCAGAACCCCAGGGCTAAAGCCCAGAGGCAATACAGTATTTGCTGGAGTGGGGTTGTCTGTGCTGCTGCCTGATTGATTACTTCCAGTTCCACAGGGTGTCCTGTTGACTGGTAAGTCCGTAACTCTGATGTTCAGATCTTTGAGGTTCTACTGTACTGGCAATTCTCATATTCATACAAAATTTGAGGGAAAAAAACATCAGCCAGAGACTAGAAACTTTCTATGTTAATGGATGGGTGCATGTTAGTTTCCTAAAATACTTTCATTTGAATGAAGAAAAAGTAATCTGAGGTCATTTGATATGTCATTCATTTTCCTGTATCTCCACAAAATATATCTGCACCTTATTTACTACACATCCTAAATGAGCAGGAAACACACCTGTTCAGTTGCAAAAGAACTAGAGTGTCTTGAAATGGGATTAATAGTCTCTGCTCCTAAAAAAAACTATAGGCTAGGGAATTGAGAATTAACAAAAACTAAAAAATTAAAAGCTATTTGTTGCATTTGTTTTCAGCCTTTTCCCTTTTTCCCCCCTGCAGCTTCGCTGTGTTGAAGATTTTCAGACCATTCAAGTGATCAAACTCCTAAGATATGAAAAGAAAGTGGCTAAAATGTGTTTTTTAATGATCTCCACATTCCTTATCTGTTGGATGCCTTATGCAGTGGTCTCCCTTTTAGTAGCTTCTGGCTACGGCAACCTTGTAACTCCAACAGTGGCTATTATCCCATCTTTCTTTGCCAAATCAAGCACTGCATATAATCCAGTCATCTACATCTTCATGAGCAGAAAGGTAGGTTAATCATAAACTTACGTACCTGAGCAGTCAAAGGAAGCATATGGCACAGCTGTGAGGATTATACTGGATGTGGAGTCCAGTTTTCAAACTTGAACACTTAAATTAAGGGCAGTTAATCACGCTCATTAGCAAAAGGGTCAGAAATTGGCACTGAGGTGTCCAAATACCAGAAGGAATCAAAGCACCCGAGCACACAAATATGGAATTATTACACCACATCTTCCCCATGGCAACACTGGCAAACAGAGCGAAAACCAGACTCTTCCATTCCTCTGTTATTTGCTGCTGCTTCTATCCCAAATATGGAAACAGATATCCAAACTTTAGGTGTCCAAGTTTGAAAGTGTTTAGCCCAATATGTCCTTTAAAGCAGATCAGACTGGAAACGTATCCAAACTGCACCCTTATTGCACCCAGAACTTTGGTGATTCAGAGGAAGATCAACCCAGACCAGAAGCATCCCAGAACTACAGCACATCTTTAATTTAGAACTGCTATAGCAATCTAGGATTTTAGCATCCTCTGCTTTACTGTCAAGTATCAGAGGGATAGTCGTGTTAGTCTGGATCTGTAAAAGCAGCAAAGAGTCCTGTGGCACCTTATAAACTAACAGACGTATTGGAGCATGAGCTTTCGTGAGTGAATACCCACTTCGTTGGATGCATGTAGTGGAAATTTCACCCACGAACAGGGCCGGTGCTACCATGTAGGCAAACTAGGTGGTTGCCTAGGGCGCCAACATTTGGGGGCGCCAAAAAGCGGTGCCCCCAATTTTTTTTTTTACAGCGTTCCTACGCCCCCTCCCCAAGTGCACGATCGCCGCTCCACTTCTCCCGCCTCCCAGGTTTGCGGCGCCAATCAGCTGTTTGGCGCCGCAAGCCTGGGAAGGGAGGAGAATTAGAGCGGGGGCGGCGTGCTCGGGGAGGAGGCGGAGCAGAGGTGAGCTGGGGTG